GCTAGGCAAGCACTCTACCATTGAGCCACCTTCCCAGCCTACTTTTCTGTTTTTACATTTCATTAGGAAGGAAGAGTGAAAAGTAGAATGAAAGAAAGATGATTTTGAAATTATTTCACAGCACTTAGAAGAAAGCAAAAGAAACCTTTCTTTTTTCTTTTCTTTTCTTTTTTTTTCAATCCTGGGGCTTGAACTCAGGGCCTGGACTCTATCCCTGAGTTTTTTTCTGCTCGAGGCTAGAACTCTACCATTTGAACTACAGTGCCACTGAGTTTTTTTCTGTGTATGTGGCACTGTGGAATGGAACCCAGGGCCTCAGGCATGCCAGGCTAGCGCCCTACCACTGAGCCACCTTCCCGGCCCCAGCTTTTTTTTTTTTTTGTGCCAGTCCTGTGGCTTGAACTCAGGGGCTGGGTACTTGCTGCCCATGAGTTTTTTTGTCAAGGCTAACATTCTAACTTGAGCCTCAGCTCCACTTTCAGCTTTTTGGTGGTTAATTGGAGATAAGAGTTTCAAGGGTGCTGAGGATGATTTTGGGCTGCAAACATCAGTTCTCAGGCTCCTGAGTGGCTAGGATTATAGGTGTGAGCCACTGGCGCCCGGCCTGAGCTACAATTGCACTGGGTTTTCTTTTAGGTCTTACCTGCAGTGTGCCATTGTAACTGCAAGCAGCCTGTCTTCCGAGTCAGACTTCGTTGGCATTAGGGAGTGGCATAGTAAGAAGCATGAAGTCTTGACCCAGTTTGCAGAAAAGTGCAAAGAGATTTTTTTCTGTCATAGTCATAGGTCCTATTTCAGGAATAGCATGAAGCAGAGCTGTTCCAAATAGGCCATGGCTGTAGCTCACAGAGCTGAGGTACTCCTGAACTCCGAAAGGACAAGATAAAGGCACAAAAATTCCAGTTGATGGAAAATTGTTACAGTTCTTACAGAGAATACTGATAAAAGATTCATGCTTAGCTCCTGTCAGGAATGTGAACATACCAGGTACGTACGTTCATGTCTTATCTCTGAGTGCCATATGGAGCAGAGCTGTTCGATTGTTACCTACTTCCACAGTCTGAGTAGACATCCACATGTCAATATGCTTGACTACGTTTTAAAAGTTTCAGATTGTTTTAGAAACACAAACGTGTTAACATCTGACAGTGGAAAAACTGGTAGGACAATCTAGCCCTCTAAAAACCAGGGCTCAGTTGACCACCCTGGGAAGAGTCTGCTTTAGGTCCAGAATCCAGTCCAAAAGATGTCTGTCCATGGCAGTGCCCAGTCTGCAGTAGAAGCACTCCTGCCCAGACTCCTACGGCAGGACTGCAGCTTAGCCCTTCCTGCTGCACTTGAGATCCTTCACTCCAGGCCATTGTTCACATGACTCAAATGCTCTGCCACATTCCGAACACCACAGTTAGCTGTGCAAGAAACCCATGATCCTTAAAGCCACAGAGGAGAGCTATGTTGAATTATGACATGCATACATGTTTGAATTTGTGCAGCTATCAAATCATTCAGTTTAAGTTGAAAGAAGTCTAGACATCAGTCTAGGTATCTTGGTGCCCTGGGTGCCCTGTGAATGCATTTCCTTGGATGTTCACTCCCACTTCCCGATGTCTTCTCTCCAGTGACCCAGGTCTGGTGGAGAAGACCTTTGGAACCTGCTGTGTCACATGACAAGACAGTATTCTCCCCATGAGGTCCAGATCACACTAGGAATCTCTGGCCTCTGGTGGCCCAGCTGGAGGAAGCCAGTGAAGTGGTTTTCCTGGGAGCTGTCTAGGGAAGGTCTCTATTTGACTTAGTCTTCAAAAGTTGCTATTCTGCAGTTTCTTGTCAAGTTAAACACTTATCATACAACTTAGTTGTTTCATTCTTATTTACCCAAGAGAAATAAAAAGATGTCCACATAAATAGTTATACACAATTGTTCATAACAGTTTTATTCAAAACAGCATACTATAGTCAACCTAAACTTTCATAAGCAGGCAAATAAACTGGGATATGCATAAAGTGCAGTGTCACTCAAAAATAAAAATGAACTAATGACCATCCAATAGCATGGATTAGCCTCTAGAGATGTGGAGCCATACACAAGAATATGTAGAAGCACAGTTATTACAAATTTGAAGCCAGGCACCCGTGGCTCATGCCTGTAATCCTAGTTACTCAGGAGATTGTGATCCAAGGATCCTGGTTGGAAACTGCCCCAGGCAGAAAAGTCCCTGTGAGACTCCTGTCTCCAATGAACTACTCAAAAGCCGGAAGTGGAGCTGTGCCTCAAGTGGTAGAGCACTAGCCTTGAGCAGGAAGAGGCTCAGAGACAGTGCCCAGGCCCTGAGTTCAAGCACCAGGAGAAAAAAACAAAAGTGTCTCAGATTTGTCTGCCTGTCCTGGCTACTACTTGTGCTTTTTTTTGGCCAATCCTGGGATTGAACTCAGGGCTTGGGCACTGTCCCTGAATTTCTTTTGCTCAAGGCTAACACTCTGTCCTTGAGCCACAGCACCACTTACCAGCTTTTTCTGTGTATGTGGTACTGAGGAATCGAACCCACGGCTTCATGCATGCTAGGGAAGCGCTCTACCACTGAGCCATATTTATCAGCCCCTACTTGGGCTTTTTAAATTAAGTGGCTCACATTAGATTGGTTACATTTAAGATATTCAATAAATAACAAATTCTGTAAGTACTGTGTATTTCAAGTAATTGCATGAATAAGGGGCTGCTGGGAACACAGTGTCACTTAGGTGTCACTGATGTGCCACCCTTGGTGTGTGCTGATGGCTCAGCACTATAGAGGCTGAGGAGGGAGATGACAGATGTTCCGGGCTTGGAGGGTTTGAGAAGTGGCATCGCTATCACCCAGTCGGAATTTAGTCTGTCCATGTGAAGAGATGTTACCTTCAAGTTCAGTCTTTTTTTTGTCTGTGGTGGGGCCTGAACTCCGGGCCTGGGCGCTGTCCTTCAGCTCTTCAGTGAAAGGCTAGCGCTCTACCACTTGAGCCACAGCGCCACTTCCGGCTTTTTCTGCTTATGTGGTGATGAGGAATCATCCTAAGCCCCCCTCCCCTTTTTTTTAAAGAAAAAGTATAATATAGTAAAAAGATGTTTGGATATATAGATCAGCAATAGAATGTCTGCCTAATAAGTTGAGACCCTGAGTTCAAACCCCCCAGTACTGCAAAAGGGAGTCTGTGCTGGGGATGTATTTTAGTGGTAGATTGCTTGCCCTGAATGTGCAAGACTATTGGTTCAATCCCCATGACTTTTTTTTTCTTCTAAGGTAGTTATAGGAAAAGAACAACTCACCTTGTTTCCTTTGCCTGGACAGTGTTGTGCAGTGTTCCTTCATTCTGCACACACCTCCTCAGACATGAGTGGTTTTGCTCCTTGGCAGTCCTTTGGTGCATAGGTTCTTTTCAAATCTTGATGTTTATGTATTTAATTTTTGTGGTGCTAGAGATTGAACACAGGACCCTGTATATGCCAAGCACGTGCTCTACCACCAAGCCACAAAATAGCAGCCTGACTTGAAAGTTTGCTTGTTTTGGGATTGGATTTTATGTGCATGTGCTGGGAGTCAGTGGCTCACGCCTGTAATCCTAGCTCCTCAGGAGGATGAGATCGAGGATCCCAGCTTGGAGTCAGGGCAAGAAATTCTGTGATGGGCTGGGAAGGTGGCTCAGTGGTAGAGCGCTTGCCTTGCATGCCTGAGGCCCTGGGTTCAATTCTCCAGCACCACATAAGCAAAAAGAAAAAAAGCCGGAAGTGGCGCTGTGGCTCAAGTGGTAGAGCGCTAGCCTTGAGCTGAAGAGCTGAGGGACAGCGCCCAGGCCCAGAGTTCAGGCCCCATGACCGGACCCCCCCCCCAAAGAAAAACAAAACAAACAAACAAAAAGTCTCTGGTTTATCTGCCTGGATTGGCTTCAAATCACAGTTCATAGATCTCAGCCTCCTGGACAGCTAGGATTATAATGGTGAGGTCACTCAGGTTAGTGACCTGTATTTGTTTGCTTGTTTGTTTGTTCCAGTACTGGGGCTTGAATTCCAGGCCTAGGTGCTGGCCGAGCTCTTTTGCTCAATGCTAGTGCTCTACACTTGAGCCACAGCTCCATTTCTGTCTTTTTGTGGTTAATTGGAGAAAGAGTTTCACAGATGGAAGTGGCACTGTGGTTCAAGTAGTAGAGAGCCAGTCTTGAGCACAGAGGCTCAGGGACAGCACCCAGGCCCTTAGTTCAAGCTCCAGAACTGGCGGGGGTGGGGGAGTGGTGGGGTGGGAGGGAGATAATCCTAGCTACTCAGGAGACTGAGATCTGAGGATCGCAGTTTGAAGCCTGTCTTGGTAGAAAAGTCCTCAAGAGACTCTTATCTCCAATTAACCACACAAAAAATGAAGTGGCACTGTGGTTAAAGCAGTAGAGCGCTAGCCTTGAACATAAAGAAGCTTAGACACCACCCAGGCCCTGAGTTCAAGCCCCACAATTGACCCAAAAAAGTCACTTTTCCTGCCTGGGTGGTTTTGAATGGTGATCCTCAGATATCAGCCTCCTGATTGGCTAGGATTATAGGCGTAAGCCACTGACACCTGGCTTTTTTTTTTTTTTTTTTTGAGATGGCCCAGCTGGACACTGATGGCTCATGCTTGTAATCCTACCATAGCGGCTAGAGCTTTGGAGTTGTTAGGGATTTCTATCTCTCTCTTTATATTTTATAATGCTCTCTAGAAGACGTGGCCTTCGAGTCTTACCCTCTAGTTTCTTCCCTTGAATTTCTTGCTCCTGTCCTGGTGTGCTCACTCCCTGCCTAGAGCAACTGCCAGGCCTTCCCAGCTCCCACAGCGCTTAGCTCTGAGTGTCTTCCCAGGGAGTCTCAGTTCAACCTACATCTTCATCTTCAGCCTGTCTGGACAGCTCTGGTGGCCTGCTGAACACTGGGTCTTCTCTCTGCAGATCCCGATGGCCAGCTGTATAGTGTGGAGCCTGCCCAGGACGAGGGTCCCACTGCCTGTGTGGACGAGTTTGACGACTTTGTCACCTATGAGGCAAGTGCTTTCCCTTACGTCTGAACTTCGTCTTTTCCTTTCTGCTGCAATCCTGCTTCCTGAGATGCTCAGAGACACGGGAAGGCCCCGCACCCTCCTGCTTCTGTAGGTTGCTGAGGGTCTCTGGGGTGCAGGCTCTGGGATGGACCAGCGGGTGTCTGCCTCTGCTCCTGGGGGCTGTCTGGGGACGGGCTGTGAGGCTGCTTGCTCCTTGTTCTCTCGGCAGCCTTCCCTGGGGCATGTTGCGCAGAGGTTGATGGACAGTGAGGCGCAGTGTAGTGCTGCTGCCATGGTCTGCCAGGTACGAACAGACAGAAGACTGAAGGTTCCCTTTCATGACTTTTTTTTTTTTCCTAGTCCTGGGGCTTGAACTCATGGCCTGGGAACTGTTTCTGAGCTTCTTTTGCTCAAGGCTTGAGTCTTGAGCCACAGCACTACTTCTGGCTTTTCTGTGTATGTGTTGCTGAGGAATCAAACTCAGGGCTTCATGCTTGCTAGGCGAGCACTCTACCACTAGCCACATTCCCAGCCCTTTCATGAACTTCTAAACTGCTTTCTGTCTTTGGGGACATTTGACTAATACTTGCTTCCTGCTTGTAGATACAGTGGGAGTATATATACATATATATATATGTATACATATATATATGGTATAGCTTCTCTAATTGTGGGTCCTTGTCACCATAGTTAGGAAAAAAGTCATAGCTGAAGAAGACAGGACACTTTTAACTACACCCAGGAACCAATGATTAGATCTTTTTCTCTTTCCTGTTTTGTCGGTCATGGGGCTTGAACTCTGGGCCTGGATGCTGTCCCTCAGCTCTTCATCTCAAGGCGAGCGCTCTACCACTTGAGCCACAGCACCACTTCTGGTTTTCTGGTGGTTAGTTGGAGATTAGAATCTCATGGACTTTCCTGCCCAGGCTGGCTTTGAACCGTGATCCTCAGATCTCAGGCGTGAGCCACCAGTGCCTGGCAACATCTCTTTTTATGTTTGGAAAAAATATACTTAACAGTATCAATGTCGGAAGGTCATTATATACCCCATCCTACTACCTCCATGATGAGCATTTGTATCTGTAGATGAAGGGTACCAGCCATTGACCCTGGGTGGTGGTGCTGAGCATTGACTGGAATCCCCAGCTTCCTCGGAGATTCCTCTGGCTTGGGTGTATGTATCCATGACGGCCTGAGAGAGCATGATCTCCTGCCCAGGAGGTCCCCTGCGTCTGTCG